TTCACCTCCGCGTGGTCGCAGGGCCATGCGCTGTGCAAAAAAGGCCTCGCCATTGAGTGCGCGAGGGACGAGGGCGCTGGCCGAGCGGGAAGGTCGGGCGAGCAGTGGTGGCTGCACCTCTACGTCGCGTTCTCCCGCGCCACGCGCGTGCGGAACGCGCTGGATCTGGTGACCGCTCTCGCGCGAGTTTCTGGGGCGCGGGCCGCCGGCGTCCTTGCGGAAAGCGTTCGAGAAGTTCAATGCGAAAGCGAGGACCTTCAGGTGTGAGGCGGAGCAGCTTGCAGCGCGGCTGGGTTTCGTGCTGCCCCCCGCCCGAGCGAGGCCTGCGGGATTGTCCCAGCGGCCTGGCCCGCGGGTCTGCCCGGCGGCCTGCCCGCGCGCCCCAGCGGCCCGCTGTGTTGCCCCAAAGGCATGGCCCGCGGGGTTGTCCCGAGTCTCCGTGACGCAGCCGTCGGCGACGGCGCGCGCGCTGGCCCAGGTGGCGACGGCGCCGAGGAACATCGATTCGCTTGCCCCGACCCGGGGGCAGGGGAGGTGCGCGTGGAGAAGAGGCAGGAGACGGATGAGGAGGGGGAAGGGGTAGGCGGAGGGCGATGGTGGAGAGGAGTTGGACAAACAGGAGAAGGATAATACAGAGGAGGAGGAGGAGGAGGAGGAGGAGAGAGGAGGAGGAGGAGGAGGAGGAGGAGGAGGAGGAGGAGGAGGAGGAGGAGGAGGAGGAGGAGGAGCGAGGAGGAGGCGGTAGGAGGAGGAGAGGAGGAGGAGAGGAGGAGGAGTGAGGAGTTGAAAGAAGGAAGGCAGGAGGAGGAGAGGAGGAGAGGAGGATGAGGGGAGGAGGAGGAGTGAGGAGGAGGAGGAGGCGGAGGAGGGAGGAGGAGGAGGAGGAGGGAGGAGGAGGAGAGGGAGGAGGAGGAGGAGGATGAGGAGGAGGAGGAGGAGGAGGAGGAGGAGGAGGAGGAGGAGGAGGGAGGAGGAGGAGGAGGCGGAGGAGCGAGGAGGCGGAGGAGGAGGAGGAGGAGGAGGAGGAGGAGGAGGGGAGGAGGAGGAGGAGGAGGAGGAGGAGGAGGAGGGGAGGAGGAGAAGGAGGAGGAGGAGGAGGAGGAGGAGGAGGAGGAGGAGGAGGAGGAGGGGAGGAGGAGGAGGAGGAGGAGGAGGAGGAGGGAGTAGGAGGAGGAGGGAGGAGGAGGAGGAGGAGGAGGAGGAGGAGGAGTAGGAGGAGGAGGAGGAGGAGGAGGAGGAGGAGGAGGAGGAGGAGGAGGAGGAGGAGGAGAGGAGGAGGAGGGAGTAGGAGCGGAGGAGGAGGAGGAGGAGGAGGAGGAGGAGGAGGGAGGGGAGGAGGAGGAGGAGGAGGAGGAGGAGGAGGAGGAGGGAGGAGGAGGAGGAGGAGGAGGAGGGAGGCGGAGGAGGGAGGCGGAGGAGGAGGAGGAGGAGGGGAGGAGGAGGAGGAGGAGGAGGGAGGAGGAGGAGGAAGGAGGAGGAGGAGGAGGAGGAGGAGGAGGAGGAGGAGGAGGCAGGAGGCGGAGGAGGAGGAGGAGGAGGAGGAGGAAGGAGGAGGAGGAGGAGGAGGAGAGGAGGAGGAGGAGGAGAGGAGGAAGGGGGAGGAGGAGGAGGGGAGGAGGAGGAGGGAGGAGGAGGAGGAGGAGGAGGAGGAGGAGGAGGAGGAGGAGGAAAAGGAGGAGGAAAAGGAGGAGGAGGATGAGGATGTGATACGTATAAGGAGGAGGAAGACAGGGCAGAGCAGAGGGCGAAGAGAGGGTGTCCGCCAGGGCTAGGAGGACAGGGCTAATGGCAAGCTAAGCATCTTTTTTTTTCAGGTGGGGCCGTCGGAGTAATGTGTTGAAATTTGGAGTGCGAGGAAGTGCCTGCTTGAGGAAGTGACCGTGGGATTGGTTGGGAGGTGAGGAAATGGTTGAGGAAACCGTCGTTCAAATTTCAGAGCTTGAGGAAGAGGCTGAGGAAATGGACGCCAATTTCTTGGAGGTCGAGCGGCGCGGGGGCAGCGCGCGCAAGACAACGCACCACTTCCCATCGCGACGAGAGCCCCAACCAGGATTTTCCAAGCGCGCCGAAACCTTGGCGGGAAGAGCCGACGACCGTTTTGCAATCTATCCGAATCATCCTGTGGTGTTGGGTCCTGGTTTTGCAGCACCCCGCGTGTCACTCCTTCTCTTCCTCCTCCTCCTTCCTCCCCTCCTCCCTTTATCATTCTTGCCTCTGCTCTCCGCGTGCCGTCGTCATCACCATCGTCATCCTCATCGCACCCCTCACACGGTTCGTGGCCCCATAGGGAGCCCCACCGAAAACCCCAGTGGGAGAGTCCGCATGGCACCGCCGCCCCATTTTGGCACACTCTTCGCGTTGTTCGCGGGTCCAATATGGAACTCCACCGAGGGCCCCAGTGGGACGGTCCGCATGGCACCGCCGTCTCATTTTGGCGCACCCATCACGTGGTTCGTGGCCCCATAGGCAGCTCCACCAAAGGCCCCAGTGGGAAGGTCAGCATGGCACCGTCGCTCCTATTTTGGCGCTCCCCTCACACGGTTCGCGGCCCCACAGGGCGCCCCACCGAAGGCCCCAACGGGAAGGTCCACATGGCAGCGCCGCTCTTATTTTGGCACGCCAGTCACACGGTTCGTGGCCCCATAGGTAGGCCCACCGAAAACCCCAGTGGGAGGGTCAGCATGGCGCCGCCGCTCTCATTTTGGCGCACCCCTCACACGGCTCGTGGCCCCATAGGGAGCTCCACCGGAGGCTCCAGTGGGAGGGTCCGTATGGCACCGCAGCCCCATTTTGGCGCACCTTTCGCACGGTTCGCGGGTCCAACAGGGAACTCCACCGGAGGCCGCAATGGGAGGGTCCGCATGGCACAGCCGCCTTCTTTTGGCGCACCCCTCGCACGGTTCGTGGCGCCACAAGGAGCTCCACCAAAGGCCCCAGTGGGAGGGTCCGTATGGCACCGCCGCTTCATTTTGGCACACCCCTCGCACGGCTCGTGGCCCCATAGGGAGCTCCGCCGAAGGCCCAAGTAGCAGGGTCCACACGGCGGCGCCGCCCTATTTTGGCGCACCCCTCAAACGGTTCGTGGCCTCATAGGGAGCTCCTCCGAGGGCTCCAGCGGCAGAGTCCATATGGCACCGCCGCCCCATTTTGGCGCACCCCTCACACGGTTCGTGGCCCCATCGGCAGCTCCACCGACGGCCCTAGTAGCAGGGCCCACATGGCGGCGCCGCCCCGTTTTGGCGCACTCCTCACAAGGTTCGTGGCCCCATGGGGACCTCCACCGAAGGCCGCAGCGGCAGGGTCCACATGGCTGCGCCGCTCCATTTTGGCGCACCCCTCACACGGATCGCGGCCCCACAGGGAGCTCCACCGAAGGCCCCAGTGGGGGAGTTCGCACGGCGGTGCCGCCCCATTTTGGCGCATCCCTCACACGGTTCGGGGCCCCATAGGGAGCTCCACCGAAAGGGGCGCCACAACACGGTATTCACAATTGCACATGGTTGGGTCTCTCGCCAGCATAATTCATCTCGCCAGCATAATTCATCTTCGCGGCGTTGCGGCCAAATTCGCGACGCCCCGCCCAACGCCGCAAGAAAAGACTCATTCTACGACCCTGTTGATGGACGTCATCCACGCTCTTTCTCCTATATGAACCCTTATTCCAACCCCTCCAATGTCTAACCCTCTGCCCACTCCTTATTTTCACATGTGCGGAATGTTGTGCATGTGTCTATGAAGTCAGATCACAAAAAAGCAACAGAGAGAGTAACGACTTCTGCAACCACATAATTTGCACCAGCCTTTAATATTTCAACCAACTATCACCCGTTTCGACCAGTCCCCAACCAAACACATCATCAGTGTACATGCCACACCAAGCGGAGACACGCCGACACAACGATAGCTCCATTTGCAAAGAGACCAGTGTTCCATCAGTGTAGTTGCTGCGAACTTTTCAGCTTCAGGATTATAAGTGGTGAGGGGGTGTGAGAGGGTGTCATATGAAACGCGCGGATTGCCCTACCAACACACGTCGGGGGGTGCGACATGGATGAGCTATCTATAAGGAAAAGGATGAAGGAGGAGGACGAGGAGGAGGATGAGGAGGAAGAGGAGGAAGAGGAGGAACGTGAGGCAAGGCTCAAGGTGTGGAGGAGGAACTAGGGGAGAGAGATGTCCAGGCAATGCACTTGCTGCCGTGATGAGCTGTCGCCGCCCCGACGAGACGTCGCGCTGGCCGCCGCTGCCGCGGCGATGGCCTTCCTGGTGCTCCCTTTGCTATGGCGCCTCCTCTTTCTCAGGGGCTCGCTGGCTGGGCACCGAACACCTATCGTGGTCGGGCCACTCCTGGTTTTAAGGTCGAGCCTCGACGTTATCGGAAGTTTTTTGTTTGGTTCTCGGCGGCTTTCTGGCCTCGGGATGCTCTCCAGCATCTGCGCCTCGCCGAGAGCGTTCCGGGGGTGTCCGAATCGCCCCGAACAGCCGCTGGAGACCTGAGCTATGACCCGAAAGCCAGGCCGGCTACTGTGACCTCTTTGCCATCTCCTCCTCCTTCCCCTTCCTCCTCGTCGTCTTCGTCCTTCTCCTTCTCCTTCTCCCCCCAGTTTCCCCCGCCCTCCCCCCTCCTCCTCTTAAGCCAGGAGGGCGTGTGCATCGAGCCTGGGCCCAAGATGGGCCTGTCCAGGAGAGGTGTCGGTGTGCAGTCGGCGTCCAGGGGGGAGGCGACGCCACCGGCACCACCTCCACTACCAGCGAGCCACCTCCTGCGAAGGGGTTCACGGTGCTTCCCCGTGCGAGAGCCTGGAGATAGCTCGAGCGGGATGCGGCAAAGCGAGGGGGACCACGCCATCAGGAGGGCCCTCCTTGGCTGCTCGCGATCCTCCTCCTCCTCCTCCTGCTCCTGCTCCTCCTCCTCCTCCTCCTCCTCCTCCCCCTCCTCCTCCTCCGCCTCCTCCTCCGCCGTGCCGATTTTCTTTGCTCCCATCCTGGTTCGTCGTCAGGCCATGGGCGAGGGACGATCTGCGGAGATCCCGAAGATGAAGTCGCGGATGGCGCTGGGCGAGGGCAACCGCGAGGCCAGGAGTCGTTCGCGCGCCGCTCTTCGGGCACGGAGAGGCGGCGGGGGTTACGGTAGGGGAGATCGAGGATCGAGGAGGATCGAGGATCACTAGGTTTCGACGTTTTTTTTCCACCGCATTCGGAGTAAGCGTGGGGTTATCATCTTCATTCGAATGCTTTCATCGAGGGGTTATCACCATCACTCTGATGCTTCCGCCTCCTCCTTTCTTCTCCTCCTCCTCCTCCTCACCCCACCTCACCTCACCTCACCTCCCCATCTCTCTGATGTTTTTGAGGGTCTGTCCTTTTCGGGCCTCACAGGGCCCCTCTGGAGTCCGTGCCCTCGTGCAGCATGGAAGGGGGGAAGAGAGGGGCCCAGGGACGGGTGGCAGGGTTCTTGGGAGGCTTGGCGCGAGAGGGGGAGCGGGAGGAGGAGGAGGAGGAGGAGGAGGAGTAGGAGGAGGAGGAGGTGGAGGAGGAGGACGAAGAGGAGGAGGAGGAGGACGAAGAGGAGTAGGACGAAGAGGAGGAGGACGAAGAGGAGGAGGATGAGGAGGAGGAGAAGGACGAAGAGGACGAAGAGGAGGAGGAGGAGGAGGAGGATAATGACGAAGAGAAGGAGGACGAGGAGGAGGAGGAGGAGGAGGAGGAGGAGGAGGAGGAGGACGAGAAACCAACAGAGGCCCGCCCAAAAGCAGACAGACCCTGAGCTGCAGAAATCCCGAGCCACTTGAGGCGGTCGGGGCAGGCGAAGGCTCAGAAGAATGCGTCGAGGATCACGCGGAACACGTGCAGTCAACCCGCGCAGCAAGGATGAGCAACTTCCCATGGCTGCCCTTGCGAGTAGGAGTCCCACTTTGAAAAGAAAGAGAGGGAATTCTGGGAACCCCTTGTTTTCCCAAATCCTCGACCTTCGAGGGTTGGAAGCGGGAAAGCGTGAGAAGGCGAAAAGCATTAGACAAACCATTGGAAATCAGCGATTTCATCCTCTTTGGGCTCTCTCGAGACGGCTCTCGCAGCTCTCTTGGGCTGTTCTTGGAGCCTCGTCGGGGTCTTTTTGGGGCCTTCCCCTTCGGCCCATCCTCGGCGACTTTCGCTTGCCAGCCTCGTTCGTAAAAGGCTAACACGGCCCTCTGGGGCCCTTGAATCCTTTCCGTGCATCCTTCCCATACGGGTTGACTGTACTCCATGTGAAGGGCCCCCTCCGCGGGGGGCAAGGCAGCGCCGCTCGGGACGATCGAAATGGGTACGGAAAGAATGGGTACAGAGACCGACAGCAGTTCCTCTCCGTTTTGACTGGGCATCGTTGCCGGTGTCGCCGCGGACGCTGTCCACTTGAGACAGGAGGCCGCCCGCCCAACAGCGGCCGCTGTCGACTCTGGACAGCACTTGCTGGTTGGGGCATCGTACCCGCTTTCTCCGCACCCGCTTCGGGCCTGCCTCGGACTCTGCTCCGCCGACCGCAGCTTACCGGCCCCGAACGTGTCCCTGTCCCTGAGACTGACACGCCAAAAGGCGATGACAGTCTCAGGGATCCGCCCTCAAAAAGTACGGGAATCCCTGAGACTGGCATCGTGATGAGGAGGTGCCCCGCACAGGGATAGGGATATGCTCCAGGCTGGTAGGCAGCCGCCGCACCAGCGGCCGCCGCGGGCTCCCCGGGAGCCTCCCGCGGCACAGCGCGCGAGCCGGCACGGCGACCGCGGCCGACCGTGGCGGGCCGCCCGCCGTCCGGCTGCGGCCCCTCGCCGCCCGCGGAGGGCGTGGCGGAGAGTCACCACCCACCAACCCACCCCAACCCAACCCGAATGCTCAGATTTACCCTCGATTTCCAGTGGGGGGGGGTTCGGGAAACATCGAAAAAACACATGTGGAACCCTTACCCCCCCCAACCCGAAATCGGGGTCTTCGGGTTGGGTTGGGGTGGTCTGGTAGGTAGTCAGAGAGGGGCCGAGCGTGCGACGGCAGCAGCCGTGCGCCGAGGCTCCCCGGCCGGCACCGCGGCCCGCACGTCGGCCGATTTTTGGGCCAGATCTGTGGCGATGTACTCGGGGCCCGCGGCCGAGCCGCATCGGGAGGGCATCTTGGGCGCAAGGCGCAGCCGAATCCGCGGCCTCGCGGGCCGGGCCCGGGGGCGTCGACCCCGCGGATGCGGGGCGTTTTTCCAGGGTGCCCCGCGCGGCACGCATCCGCGCGACCGCGCATCCGCGGGGCCGTGCCCTGGAATCCAGACCGCGAAGGCGCATATACGGCTATGTTCGCCGTTCGTGAGGACGGGTAGTTTTCCAAGGGTGCCCTTGCGTCCTGGCACCCTGTCTCTGCGGTCGTCCCTCAGACTTTTCGGCTCGTCTGGCGCCGCTCAGGCAGTTCGGCTTGCGCGTCCCAGGCCCCTTTCCCGCAGGTCCTCGTGGTCCCGGTTGGACTGTAGGGTCTCTCGTCCCTGGCGTGTATCTTTGAAGTCAGATCCTAGCAAAGAGGTGCCTTCAGAGTAAGACCGGTTCTGAGGAGCAAAAGGCCATTCCCACACGCCGTCATCACGACCAGGCATGGTTTCCCACACGCCACCATCCTCGTGGCGGAGCCAGGTGGCCATGTGTCCTTGTTGGGGCTCACGCCAGACGAAGTTTCAGCTGCTGCACCGAGCCTCGAGTGACAGTGTTGAGCTTTTCACTGCGCGTGTTCGCTATCGAGCATCGGCGAGCAGCTCAGCATGCGATCGGAGGAGGAAGCCTGAAACACATATCCCTGTCCCTAGGATTGGCGTCACCTTTTCTCGGTGCCGATCTTAAGGAACTACTTAGTTTCTGAGGGCGCATCCCTCAGTTTGTCATCGCCTTGATTTTGTTGATCTTTTGGTCAGGGTTTGGTTCGGGGCTGGTCAGAGAAGGACGATGGGGGATAGGACGAGGACGACCTACCAGAGAAGACGACGGCCCCCATCCTTGAGGGTTGAAGCGGAGGTCGGGGGCGAAGTGGGGGGACGCCGCGCAAACACAGGCGCCCACGAGGGACCAGATGAGCTGTGAGCCGGCGCTCATGCACATCACTATGGACCTCATCGGGGGACGTTGCTGCCCAAAGAGGATGATGATGATGATGTTGATGACGATGACAATGACGATGACGATGATGATGATGCTGCTGATGATGATGATGCTGATGATGATGATGATGATGATGATGCTGAGGATGATGATGATGATGATGATGAGGATGAGGATGAGGATGAGGATGAGGATGATGATGATGATGATGATGATGATGATGCTGATACTGATGATGATGGTGGTGATGATCCTGATGATGAGGATGAGGACGATGATGAGGATGATGATGATGATGATGATGATGATGCTGATGATGATAATGATGACGAGGATGAGGATAATCATGAGGATGATGATGAGGATGATGAGGCTGATGATGCTGTTGATGCTGATGATGCTTCTGCTGATGATGATAATCATGATGATGATGAATATGGTAATATGATGATGATGCTGCTGATGATGATGGCGATACTGATTATGATGATGCTGTTGCTGATGATGATGGTGATGATGATGCTGTTGATGATGATGAGGAGGAGGAGGAGGATGAGGATGAGGATGAGGATGAGGATGAGGATGAGGATGAGGATGAGGATGATGATGATGATGATGATGATGATGATGATGATGATGATGATGATGATGATGATGATGATGATGATGATGAGAGGAGGAGGAGGAGGAGGAGGAGGAGGAGGAGGAGGAGGAGGAGGAGGAGGAGGAGGAGGAGGAGGGAGGGGAGGGGGGGAGGGGAGGGGAGGGGAGGGGAGGGGAGGGAGGGAGGGAGGGAGGGAGCATCACCTGCGTACACTCAACGTACGCTCCACGCAACGGTGCCAGGCCGAGAAAAACGGTCTGGCTGCCCTTCAGGCGGTGGAACAGAAGCGAGAGCGCTACCCTCCACACGGAGGAGAGATGGTCCAGCTAGTCTTCGAGATGGGGGGCCGGCCCGGTGATGAAGCAGCCAGCTTTGTCCGCTGCTACGGAGCCAGCTTAGATGACGGTGGCCGTTCCGAGCTGCTGGGCGGCCTCTGGCGGCAGATCAGCATGACCCTCCAAAGAGGGAGTGCTGAGATGCTGCTGAGCGCGTTCGGGCGCTAGGCCACGAGGAAGACGACCGCAGCCACCCGCAGGGCACGCGGCGCGACCGCCGCCAGCCCCGCGACCGCGACGACTGCCAGCACGACAACCACCACGACCATCGCCACCACCACGGCCACCGCCAGCGGCAGCGCGACGATCACCACGACCACCGCCAGGATCGAGTCCGCGGTCGCAGCGCCGACGGCCACGGCCACGACCACCACCACGACCGCCCGGACCGCCCCCGCCTTCCGCATTTCCTCCGCGACGACCGCCTGGACGACAACCGCCACGACCGCCGCCAACGCGACCACCGCCAGCGGCAGCGAGACGCCCGCCGCGACCAAAACCAAGATTGGGTCCGCGATCACAGCGCTGACGATCACGGCCGCGACAACAAAGGCGCCCGCCCCGAAATCCCCCGCCCCCCGCCGTCCCTCTCCTTCCTTTCCTCTCCTCGCCCCTTCTGGGCCGCCCCTGCTTCCGCGCGCGCCTAGCGCGCAGCTCTCCCTTGTCTCCTCCTCCTCCTCTTACCCCCCTGGCCGCGGGGCCAGTCTTGACAGGAGGCATTCTTTGAACCCTGGAGGCTACAGTTTTCTGAAGAGCTGTGAAGTCGAGGACGGACTGGCTTCTCCCCTTGCTGCTGCCTCCTTGCCGTTGCTTGCCGGGAGGGGGGGGGCAGGGAGGGGGGGGGCGGAGGGAGGAGGAGGAGGAGGAGGACGAGCACGAGGAGGAGGAGGAGGAGGAGGACGACGACGGAGGACGACGGCGACGACGGCGACGACGACGACGACGATACAGGTTGATTGGGCCAGTGTGGGACAGGTGGTTTCGGAAGGGGGAGAGGGAGGTTGGAAGAGAAGGCGATCCAAACCATCTGCGCCCAGAAGGCTGATAGGATTGTATTTGGAATGCGCCCTTCAGATTGATCGGATGTCAATGTTTGGAGGGGGCGGATCAGGAGGAGGCGTTAGAACATGGCCGTGCGAGGGGGTGAGGAGCATTGCCACGCGCTCCACTGTCAAGTGTTCGTGTCGCCGCTGTCCCATCACATCCGAAACTGACATTTGGGTCATGTGATATTTGCCTTCTCAGCAAAATGATCCTACCCGATTCTCATGGTCGCGGAGCCCGTTGTTCGCCCCGCGGGTTCCAGTGCAGAGATGGCAGCGGCGGCCGCCGCAGCGACCCCACCGGACCCTGGCAACCACGACCTGGGTTATAATGTAACGTTGTCTGATGCCCGAGAGGCCTGGCACAACCTGAGCACGAACCCGTTCTGCGCAGTTGTGCATTGCCGGACGCAAAAGCGGATATTTCAGGTATGTTACCACCGCCTTCAAGGCCAATCGTGAAAAAGGATGAGACCGCCGTTCAGGAGCAGCGCCGCATTGGGCACCAGGACAGTTGACGACGATGAAATGTTTACGGTGTTACCGATGGTCTACACGATGAATGCGCTTTTGATATCGGTCATCCGCCGCAACATGTACTGCGAGGAACAGTTCGACAACTGGAAGGAACACGTTGGGACAAAACTCCAACGTCAAGCGAAAACTTCGGATCATTTTGCCAAAACCGCCGAAACTATATAGTCCGCTGGAAACGCGATGGTCGAAGGAGGTGAAGCCAGTCAGCGAATATAAGACCGTTCAACAATTACACCTGTTCTCGGGTGGCCGGACCAAGTTCATGGAGTGGAACGAAACATTTTTGAACGCGCTTGCCCAAGTGGGGCGCGGTTGTCGGGAAACCCTGAACGATTTGAACAGCAAATGTGAAACTATGGATGGGGCGTTACCCGATGACGAAAAGGTTGGCCCTGAGCGAAGATTTCAAAACGTCACCAACCAAGAGACAATCATAACACAACGCTGCATGATAATACGAAAGCTTTTGGGACTCTTTCGCAGAGTTGGACGGGGATCTCTTGTATTTCGTAAGTGACAAATTGGGAAGGACAGGGCCACGTGCAAAACTCAAGGGTTTGAATGGAAATGTATGCGTGATGGCGTATTCGAATTTATGTACACAGAGATTGCATTCGGCCGCTGCAGGAGTCACGCTGTCATATTGACTCTGGGATGCATCATTGATGTTACAACGCCCTCGTCCCAAATCGCCTCCTCATAACACGCTTGCACGACACGGGACGCCCCTCTAAAATACGATCGCCCAGTGGGCCGACCATTCAGGCAGAAACCCCACTTTGAGAAGGAATTGCTTTGCATCTTTCTCATGCGTGATTATGAACGCGAAGCGGTAATATCGCAATGCTCAACGACGTGTCCGGCGAAAACCTTTTTTTGACACATATTCTTCACACTTCGCGCATCCCCACCAGGTCATCCAGAAACGATCCGCAGGGGATTTGGTAAGCGAGGGACGGTTGGAAGCATGCAGTTGCGCGGTCATCTTCAGAAAAGCAAGAATCACACAGCTTCCCGCGTTGAAAAAGTTTAACATGGAAACTTGTGCAAGATACGACGTGGTGCTCCCCGTGGTAAGCGTCTCTAGCGAAGGTGGCTGTATCCACCCTGGGCAGTGATAGACAAGGATCACGCATAGCTTCGCGCAGCGAAGTTTAAGATGGAAACCGGTGCAAGATACGCCGGGGTGCTCTTTGTGGTAGGCGTCTTTGTCGCAGCGGGCCCCGTGGTTTAATCGGATTTTCTATTCTTGGACCCTCTTGGGGGTCTCTTGGGGGTCTCTTGGGCCTCTCTTGAAGGTCTTATAGGGAGTCTTGGGGCCCTCTTGGAGCACTTTTGGGGGGTCTGGGAGGCCTCTTGGGGCCGTCTTGGGCCTTTCGCTTTACAAGAGGGAGGTCGTATATGTCGGTCCCCCTCCCTCGGAGGCCCAAAAGGGGCGTCTTGGGCCCTTCAGGACCGCTCTTGGAGCACTCTTGGGCGCTCGTGGGGCCGTCTTGGGGCCCTCTCGGGCCCCTCTTGGGGCTATGTTGGGCCATCTTAGGGAGAGCCCATCAGAAGCGAAACAACGAAAAGGCAAAACAAATAGATTTCCCTGGGGTTTTGAACCAATTTTGGCCTCTTGGGGGAATCCTTGGAGGGCTTGGAGGGCACTTGAAACCGTCATGGGGCCTTCTTGAGGCCCCTTGGATGCGTGTTGGAGGCTATCTTGAGCCGTCTTGAGGTATCTTGGGCGATATTGGAGGCCGTCTTGGGCTAGCAAAAGCCCTCTTGAAGCTATCCAGGGCCATCTTGGACACTCTAATCCCTCGCGGGGGAGCCCGTCCAGACCCAGGTAGGGGGAGGGGAGGTAAACCTCCCGAGCAGGGGAAGGAAGGAGGTTAGAACAGAAAGCGCTCTAGGCCACCGGCGCCTAGAGGGCTGGTGGCATTGGCCCCACATCCGTTTTACTGTTGCACAAGTTTACATCACTGGTCTCACAGTCGGGGCCCTGAAGAAGGAACCCTTTTCGTTGGGGAGGGGCTCCGCGTTCCTCAAGTGTTTCGCAGCTTGCCTCAGGTTTTCCTTATGTTTTCAATCGGAAAATCGAAGCTTAACTTCTGGAAAAAAGGGGCCTCGTTCCTTATTTTGGGCTCCTTAGGTCAACGCCCCGACTGTAGGTGTCGAGGGGGTCTCAAACAAGAGCCCAACTGTGAAAACAGGCTGCCCTCCTTCCGTGGACCTGTACATCCTGGAGAGGAGGCCTCACGGCGGCTGCTGCCGACGTGGCAGCGGGGATATCAGGAGCCTGGGGAGAAGGCCGCGCGGGAGCCGAGAAGCGCACGAAGGCAGGCCGACGGCTGTCCCAGAAAGTCACCACCCACCAAACCACCCCAACCCAACCCGAAGGCCTCATTTTGCCCTCCATTTCCAGTGGGGGGGTCTCCGGGAACATCGAAAAACACATATGGAGCCCGTACCCCCCCCAACCCGAAATTCGGGTCTTCGGGTTGGGTTGGGGTGGTCTGGTAGGTAGTCAGAAAGGCTCGAGGAGCACCTCGGGACTAGAGAACCGGTAGCACACCGTGCCGCCTCCATCCAGTGGCCTTCGCCCATTCCAGCACCGTGCCCGGGTCGTGGACCAGAGGCCCCTTGAGTGTATGAGAGGGTCTCTTGGGGTGCCTCTCGGAGCTGGGGGGCTTCTGGGGGCCTCCGGGGGGCCTCTCGGTAGGCTCTTGGGGGCCTCTCGGGGTCCTCTCAAGGGACCTCCAGGGCGGGGCCTCTTGGGAAGCTGCTGGCGGTCTCGGGGGCGAATTTTGGGCAGAGGTCTCGAAATGTGCATTCGTGTGCCGCCTCTGGGGCCTCTCTGGGGACACCCTTGGGCCGTCTTGGGGCCCTCTTTGGCCATCTTGGGCTCCCTCTGGGGCTTGGGGGCCTCTTGGGCCGCCTTGGAGCGTTGGACAGCCGAGAAGACGATCCGCCCAACTCCTCCAAGAACCTTGAGGAAATCAAGGTTGTTGGGGGTGGCGACGACGAGGGAGCAATCAGGAGGGGGGGGGGGAATGCGAGAAACGTGCCAGCCGCGTGCCGTGCCGTACCCGTGCCGTGCCCGTGCCGCGCCCGTTCCGTGCGCGCGCAGCGCCGCGCCCGCGTGCCGTGCCGTGCCTGTGGCGTGCCTGGCTCTCAGGAGGCGGAGCGTGAGCCGCCCGCGTGCCGTGGCCGGCGGGCGCCGGGGCGTGCCGTGTCGTGCACGCGCATTCCGGTGTCGACTCGCCAGGTGTCTTCTCGTGCAGCGCTGGCATGTGTAGGATCTCTCCGCCTGGGCAATCTGGTTTTGTTGTTGTCCTCTGGCGGCGACGAGCGTTGCCGGGGGTGGACGGGGGGGTTGGGCAGGTAACGCCACGAGTTGCGCCAACACCGCTTGAGCCATCAGGTACGCCGAAAGAAAGGGCATAGGAGGAAGAAGGACCGAGGAGGAAGAGGGGAGGGGGAGGGAGGAGGAGGAGGAGGAGGAGGAATTGGAGAAGAAGGGAAAGAGGGAGGGGAGGAGCGGGGAAGAAAAGGAGGAGGAGGAGGAGGAGGAGGAGGAGGATGAGGAGGAGGAGGAGGAGGATGAGGAGGAGGAGGAGGAGGAGGAAGAGGAGAACGTGAGAGAGGGAGGGAAAGGGAACGGGGAAGGGGGGAGGGAGTCTCCGCCCGTGGCCCCTCGCCCGTCTGGCCTGCACCGCACAAGGGCTCAAGAGAGGGCCGGGGCTCGCGGCTCGAGGACCGAGACCTCCACGGGACGTCCCCGGCCCGTTCTGCGCCCCCCCCCTGGGGGTGACCGAGGGCCGCCGAGGGGGTGCCCGGGGGGCGGCGCGCTTCGCCGAGGACTCCACGCTCGGGCCAGTGTGGATCCTCGGCATGCCGTTCTTCCGCAAGTACTACTCGGTCGCCCGGGCCCCCGGCCGCGCGCCCCGGCGGCGCAGCCTGGGCGGAGGCGGCGGTGACGACGCCGACCAGGTACCCTTGTGTCCTGTGTCTCGCGACCCATGCTTCCTACATTCCTGTGGCAATGTGGCCCTCGGAAGGGTCTTGTGTCCTCGCGCGTGTCCTGTCCAATCGAGTCCGACTGTAGGGAAACCGTGGCGACGTTGTCGTGGCCCTTCGTTTTTGTTTTGTTGTTGTTACTTTATTATGTTACTTTCTTGTGTTTCTTTGCCATGCCTTATGCTTGCGTGGTTTGCTTTGGGGACGTTCTCGTTGCCAGAGTGGGCGCAGGTGGATAGAAAGGCCAGGATCGAACCAGGCAGGGGTCTGGAGACCGAGCTTGAGAGGATATTGTCGGACGAGGCCAGGACGAGGATAACTCCGTCCCAGAGCGTTCTGGGCCGTTCTCAGAGCGTTCCGAAACGCTCTGAGAAGGCCGCGCCGCCCGAGACATCCTCCAGATCCGCCGGATCTCAGAGATTCTCGATCTCTCCTCACCCGATTTTGTCCCTGTCCTGGCTCCGTCCTGTTCTGGGAACTCCGAGGGTGAGGGGGGCGCCATGAAGAGCGAGGGCCCTGAGGGGGAGGGGCGCTCTGGCTTGCCTCTCGCGCTCGTCCTCCCAGAGCTCCTCTCCAGCGCCTCGGGGCCGTCAGGACGTGGTTCGGGGACCAACGCCCGGTCCCAGGCCCGTTTCCCTCGGGACCCCCTTTGGCTCTCACGGCAAGCCTCCGAGGTCTGACCAGCTCGAAACACATCCCCATGTGATCGTTTTCGTATTCGTTCTTTTGCCGATCGGCGCGGGCCCTCGCCCCCCCCCTCCCCCCCCCTTTGGAGCAGATCTTGGCTGTTTTTGGCGCCCGTGTCAGGCAGGTGCAGTCCCTCCCCCATAGGACGCACTGCTTCCAACAGCCGCATTGAGCAGAGGTCCGGAGCCAGACTCTGGCCCCCCCTGCTTTCCGCCCAGTGTCGAAACGCCGAACAAGAGAGCGTTCTCTATCCCAATGTTTGGCACAATCTTGCCTCGGTGCCGATGCCAGGGGCTCACTCGATTTTCGGAGGCACATCCCCAGGGTTGTCGTCGCCTTGGGCTTGCCGATCTCGGGGATGGGGATCGGTTCGAGGCCGGTCAAGGTCCCCCTGCTCTCGTCAGAAGCACCCAGTCCAGGTGATGTTTGGTCTGTGTCGGAGCTGGCGCAGAAATGAAACCGTTTTTTTGAAAGGTTTGGACTTGAGAGAAAGATCAACTTTGATATGAGAAGCTATGATATGAGATGAGAGCCTTTGAGATAATAAGAAGAGAAAACTAAGAAGAGAGCCGCTCTTGTCCGACCACCTCGGCCGAGTTCGACGGGGTAGGTGGGGTCTCGTCGGGTCCGTCTGTTTCTGGTCTCGTCCAGGGCCAGTCTGTTCTGCCCCTTCAGCCGCCCGCCTGTCCGAGCGACCGTCCGTCCATCAGTCCGCCCCCTCTTTCGCTCTTTCTCTCTGTCTCGCTCTCGCTCTCCGCTTGACTGTCTCTCACTGCTTCCTCCCGGCCCCTCCGTGGCCTCTCACGTTTTATGAGCGTGCAATGCCAGAGCAGTGTTGGTCGGGCGGAAGTGTGAATGCGCCTACCGTTCTCTGCCCACACTGCCTCCCGAGGTCTTCAGGCAGCCCAACCGCGAGAAGAACCTGGGGCCCTCCTTCTACGTGGCCGCTGCCACCAGCGACTGCAACACGGCCAACAGCGCTTCCATGGAGTCGGGCTCCTCCCCCCTGCGCGACACCGGGAGTGCGGCAGGGTCGTGCCGCCTCCGCGCGGCGGCGTCGCCGGTGCGGGCCTCCAAGTCCGAGTGCCCCCGCAGGGGCCCTGCTCGCGACCCCAGATGCCCACAGAGAGTTCACGGGGCGAGCCTCCACGGGGACCTCCGAGAGGGGAGGTCCTTCAAGACTGGAAACGGCTGACGCGGCGTGGGAAACCTGTGGCCCACGTCGTCAGGGCACGGGCCTGCCGCGGCCGCCGCCACCGCTCTTTGCAGCAGCTGGCGGCATCGCTCCTCTCATCTTCGCCTCGGCGTGCGATCGCCCGGGTGAGCGACGCTTTGGCATCGATCCCGTTCCCCGTGGAGCTCCGATCGAGGGGCGTGCCCTGCGCAGGGGGGTGCTTGCCGTGCCGCTCAAGCTTGGGCGTCACCCTCGCGGCCACCAGCCAGCGACCTACTTCTCTGCTCCACGTAGCTGTTCTCTGGGGCTTCTGCCGCTCCCTGGTGGGGCGGCTGGGTGGAGCACTGACCAGGATAAGAGTGGTTGTGGACTTGTGGATCGGATGTCTGGGCGCTCCTCGGAGGGGCCATGGTCAAGTGCCGGCCTGAACCCCGCAGAACGTTGCGAGGCGAGGCATACATGCGGGAGTAGCGATGGATGTGGGGCGGGGAACAAGGGTCGAGAGTCAGCGCACGCTTCTCTGCGTCGCTGAAGCTCAGTGGGAAGCAAGTGAGACTCGGAGGTTGGGGGGTGCGCGAGTGCGGGAGATGTTTTCACATAGCTTCTTCGGACGGCTTCCCGCCCAGGGGCAGTCGCGTTGCACCAGGGGTTGTCCGGCGGCAGTCCCAATCTCGTGGTTGCTCCGCGGTTGTTCCGCGGTCGTCACGTGCGGTTGTCTCGCCGTTATCCCGTGGTTGTCCAGCGGTTGTTTTGTGGTGTCTGATGCGTCTGTCCCATGGTCGTCCGTGTGGTTGTCATGTGGTTGCCTCCCGTTCGGTTTCTCGTTCCGTTCGTTTGTCCCATGGCAATTATTTGGTCAACTAATACCAAGCTTGTTGCCTTTTGAGAACCGTTTGAGGGCCTATTGGGGCATCTTTTGGACCTCTTGGGAGCCTCTTGGACCCTCTTGGGGTCTGTTGAGCTGCCTGCTGGTGGTCTCGGGAGTCCTCTTGGGGTGGAGGGCTTGAAATGTCAGTTCGAGTTCCCCCTCTTGGGCCCATCTTCAGGCTCTGTTGGGGCCGTCTGGGCCGTCTTGGGCGCCCTTTGGGCCGTTCTGGGGCTCTCTTTGGGCCCTGTTGGGGCGTCTTGGCGGCCTCTTGGGCCATCTTGAGGCCATCCTGGGTGCTTTGAAGGCCGTTCGGGTGTGTTGACGCCTTTCTTGAGCCTTCTTGGAAGGCGGCTGGGGCATCTTGGACGATGGAGGCTGGATTTCGAGGCTCCGAGGGCCCTGGAGCAGCGCTGGGGAGTTCTGGACCCCCCCCGCCCTTTGGGTCCCCAGGGGAGGGGGAAACGGAGAGGGGTGACAGTCAAATGTCGCACACGCCTTTTTGTTGCTCTGGCAAGCGGGGTTCGGCAGATTTCAACGTGCGTATCGCGCGTTTGGCATTCTTCTAATTTCCATCGTTTGCAGTATCCAGAAACTTCCCCGACCACGAGGCGCACTATGACATGTGCGCAGTGCGCCGAGCCGCTGGCACATTGGCCCCCCGACACAGTGACAGACGATGCACCGCGCCGGCTGTTCGAATCATTGAGTTTGAACGATGGTGCTTTGGCACAGTGATGTTCGGTAGCAAATCATGGGAGCCTTGTATACCCTCGTAATTCCGTTTTTAGCGCCGATTAGTCTCAATTCTAGACGCTTCGCTTATCCCCACCAGCCCATCCCGAAACAATGTCCAGGCGAGTTGAGGTGATCAGGGAAGTGCGGCAGCAAAGAGGAGGACGGCCGAACCGTGCAAAGGAGTGAGGAGGAGAAGGAGGAGGTGGATGGATGGATGGATGAGGGAGTGGGAAGACGGAGGATGAATAGGATGAGAAGGAGGCGGAGGAGGAGGAGGAGGAGGAGGAGGAGGAGGAGGAGGAAGAGAAGGAGTAGGAGCAGGAAGGAGGAACAGGAGGAGGAGGAGGAGGGCAAGCACAAGGGCCAGAGGTCTCTTGGATGCCTCTAGGAGCCTCTTGGAGTATCTCTTGGGCGATTCTTGGGGGCCTCTTGGGACGTCTTGGGGGTCTCTTGGCGATCCTGGGGGGCTCTTCGGGGTCTTGGGTGCCTAGGGGGGGGGCCTCTTGGGGCCTCTGAGGGTCTTCTTGGGGGCCTTCTGGGGGCCTCGTCGGGGCCTCGTGGGGGCCTCTTGGGGCCATCTTGGGGCCATCTTGGGACCTCTTGGGGCCTCCTGGGCGCTTCTTTGTGCCATCTTGGGGGAGATCTATCAAAGAAGAGCTGAGCTTTAATTAGCGCTGCCCCCCCCCAGGAGGCCAAGATGGGGCCCAAACCCTGCTAAAATCAAGGATTTTGGCTTCCTCGCCGAGGCTGTTTTGGACGCTCTGACCGCTCCCCGCCCCTCCTGTCCAGGTCAGTGGGGAGGGGGTAGGGGGAGGGGTAAACCCCTCCCCGAAGGGGAAGAGGGAGGGGTGGAAGAGGAAATGCCCTAAACTACCAACGCCTAGAGGGCTGGTGGGATTAGCATCTGGATTCGATGCTATAGCGCCGATTTTGCGTCGGTTAGCGTCGATTTAGCGTCGATCAGCGTTGACCTAGCTTCGATTAGCGTCGACTCGCAAGAGCCAACAAGATGGTATAGGAGGCTCCCATGATTTGCCACCAGTGATGCATTGATAACGATGCGCGCACACTGGCATCCCAACACGCCGACACCGTCGTGCTGGCACTCGGTCTTGGACGCAGCGACCCATGCTCGCGCGCACCTGCACCCATGATCTGCTCGTTCAGCTGCGTCATGGCCGTGGCCAGCTTGATCGCTCTGCGGCCTCTCGCCCTGGACACCAGGCGCCGACGCCGCAGCCGACGCCGCAGCTTTACCAATCGTGAGGAATTCAGCATCGCCAGTGAAGCACCATGGCGAGCTTGAGCCGCGGGACGCGGCGGCGGCGAGGCCCCGCATGCGCCTCTGCGCGAGGCTTGCTGGGCGGCTCCGGCAACGCCCGCGAGCGCGAGCACGAGCTGGTGAACGGGAGCTGGGCCCACGGCCACCGGGCGCGCGAGGTGGACATGTCCAAGGCGCACCGCCGCCGCTGCCGCCGCCGCCCCGGGGCCGGGAGCCGGCCTCTCGGCCGACGGTCAGCCCCCGCTGGTTCGGGGCAGGCCCGCAGGGCCGCCTCACGTCAGAAGGGAACAAAAAACACACACACACAGACACAACTATCATCGCCGATCCCCAGCAAGTATGGGAAGTGGGGGGGGGGGAAGACGAAGACCCCAAACATATGGAAAAATAGGGGGCATCCTTTGATTTGTGTGTATTCTATTTGTGTGTCCCTGGGCCCCTCGACCACGTCGAGGCATCTCCCCCGAGTCCCCGGTCCGGTCGCGCCGCCGCTGCGCGCGCGCCGCCGCGCTCGGGGAGGAGGCGCGGCGCCGCCGCGGCGCGGCGAGGCTGCGGCGCTCATGTGCTGCCCCTTGGGAGCCTCGGGCGGGCCTCCTCGGAGCCTCGGGGCGGTGCAGGGATCTGCTCCTCCTCCTCCTCCTCCCCCTCCTCCTCCTCCTCCTCCTCCTCCTCCTCCTCCTCCTCCTCCTCCTCCTCCTCCTCCTCCTCCTCCTCCTCCTCCTCCTCCTCCTCCTCCCCCCTGCATGGGCGGGCGCATATCCGTGTCCACTGCTGCCCGTGTCCCTGGGACACGACCGCGCGGCAGTGGACATGGGCACACTCTGGCGGCGCATGTGGGCTCGGGGCTCGTGGGGCTCGATCTTGAGAGGGCTCCCGGGCCATCCGGGGGAAAGTTTCGGCCCTCCCGGGCCAGCTTGCCAGGAGGTAGACAACTGCGCCTCGGGCAAGTCTCCAGCCGTCTGGGGGCAAGCGGGGGAGCAGGCTGAAGGAAGAGTAAACGCCCCACCTTGATGTTGGCCTGATGTCTGCGCAAGCACGAGTTCAAGCCAATGGATTCGGAACCAGAAGTTTGACGCATGTTGGTCTCGATTCGATGGGTAATTCGACTTTACTACGCGTGGTAGAGAGTAATGCTGAGACACGGACCCAACGCGATTCCATAGGGCTGATTTATTGATAGGGGTCAACTGATGGCGAGGTACTTTTACAACGACAAACTGCTTCAACAAGCTCAAGATAAGCGAATGAAGGATAGCCATCCGCGTTTCATCGCATTATTTTGCTGGGTACGTTTTGCTTTGCCCAGCTTCGATTTGGGCTTGCTTTTAATTGATGTGCGTATTTGCTTCATGCTGCCTAGATATGTTTCGATTTGCTATGAATTTCCGTTGTCGTCGAGCTGCTGTACTTAGTGCTACTTCGGAGTATGCAGTGTAGTACGATGCTTTGCATTGCGAGTGTGTTGCTTTGCATTGCTTTGCATTACAACCCAGAGCAACGATATGTAGCTCACGCGCAATCCAGTTCAAGGCAATGCAACGCAAACTAGTGTAACACACATCCATGTACCTAATTGCAACGCGAAGTAGGTGCAGTGGGAAGCAATGGGAAGCAGCGGGAATGGGAAGCAACGGCGTGCGAGCAAGCGCACACGCAACTTAATACCATGCAAAGCAACGCACCTGAAAGTAATGCGAAGCGATGCACAGCAGCACGTTGCGGTGCAAGATAGGACGAGGTAAAGCAATGCAATGCAAAGAACTGCGCAGCATTATCTCTACCCGCGTTGGCTCCCAATTGGCGCGGTGCAGCACTTCAGGGTAGCAACAGAGGCACGCGTGTGCAACCTCACGCGCAACCCGCCTGCTCAACCCACATGTACAACCCGCGTGCGCGACCCACCCACCCGCATGCGCAAGTCGAATGTGCAACCATGGCAAGCCTTGTCCCGCGCGGGGGGTCACGGGCCGACTCACAGAGGCATAGAGATAATCCTTCAGACTGCTCGCGCCCTGCAAGCCGTTTGGAAAGCGCAGCGATGAATTGCAGAGCAACTCGAAGCAGCGTACCGAGATGCAAGCCATACCGACGCAATGCGAAACGATGATCATGACGCTTAATACGCTGCACAGCAATGCAACTCCAAGCAACACGGAGCACTGGCGTGCAAACTTAGGATATTTCAAACAGTTGCGATGGAAAGCCGTGCGTGTTCATCGCGTAAGGAGGTGAGTCTAACGTGACGCGAGGCACATCAAATGTCTTTCAAAGCAAGACAGCGCAACGTAAAGCAGCGTAGCCGAAACGGAGTGCACTGCAATGCAACTCAGAGCAGTGTACAGCAAGAAAGTGAAATGCAGAGCAAAGGGAAGGACAGTAAGACAACGCAAGGTAACGCAGTGTAAACAACTCAATGCGTGCTAGGCGAAGCAGAGCGGCGGAGACTGGGATTTGGAGGGGGGTGGCAGCCCTCGCACGAAGCGCCGAGCATCGAGCGCCCCTCCGGGGGCCCAGGAGCTGGGTGCAAAGACTGCACGGCCACCGGGCCTTCGCACTGAAGAAGCGGCATTTTTCTTGACGAGGGCCGCCACGAGGGCGCGACGTTGTTCGCGGTTCACGCTTCGCGACTCCTCGTCCTCCTCTTCTTCGTCTTCCTCTTCCCCGAGGGGTCGGCGCGCGAGTCTTCCGCGAGGGGTCGTTGTCCTCTTCCCCGGGAGGTCGGCGCGAGGTCGGCGCTGTGGTCGCGCTTCACGAAGCGAGACTCGCGACCATGGCTGCCTTGCTTGTCAGGGAAGGCCCAGAGGGCGAGAGGCCCGGCGAGCACGGGGCTGCGGCGCGGTGCGGCGGTGGACCCGCCGTGGTGCAGGGGCACCCTGTGGAGCCGGGGGGGACGAAGGCCGCGAGGGGTGCGGGATCGGCTGGCAGACGAGGGGGAGGTGCGCGAGGGGACCCGGAGGGATTCGGAGCGCTCGTTCTCCTGCTGCTGCCCTCCTCTCTCTCCTCCTGCTGCATGCCCCCCCGCCGCCTCCCCCCCCTCCCCCCGGCCCTTTCGTTCCCGTCCCTCTCCTTCCCGCCCTCCCCGTCCTCTCCGTCCTTCTCCTTCCCTTCCCTTCTCCCCTTCCGCCCTCCTCCTCTTCCTCCTCCTCCACCCTCCTTCCAGATGTCCTCCTCGTGGCGCTGCCGGGCGGGTCGGTACATGGGGCCCGGGTGCTTCCTCTGAGGCTGCCCCTCGAACTTCTGCCCTGCAGCTTGCCAATACCCACGGGTGCACGGATGAAGAGCGAGTCGGTCCTGCAGCGTGGCTCTCGCTGGAACGCCGCGCACACTCGCACATCATGTGCCTCCTATCTCCCATCGTATGCTTGTGGAGGGCGATCACTGGAGAGGAAACATGTTGCCAAACAATTTCCAGATGTCTTAAACATGTATTGAACATGTTTAAACATGTGAAAACATGTTTGAAACATGTTTATACTATTTTCTGACATTTCAGACATATTTTAATTCAATGATAGGACTGTTAGGGTGTCCATTATCGTGGCGTCCACCGCCGACAGTGCGGCATCCGCGCAGTTACTTTGGCTTGCCGACTACACGTAAGAGTGACACTTCGCCGGAGTGACCTTTGGTGCGCGCTCACTGGGGTCCCCCGATCGCCGCGCTCGTTGCGATAGTAGCGTCTTGCGCAATCGTGTTTGGCCTGGGCCGCCCATGTGGATATCTAACTCAGGGTGGTGTCTAAGATCGTTGCCCCTGGCTTGAAGCGCCTTGGCATCGCTCGGACGTGTGCATTTTTTCTCGGCGAGAACCATCGAGGACCATCCTGGACCATCGAGCAAAAAAAACACGCACGAAAACGAAACATGCTCAGGAAATGGACGTCCGAGCGACGGCAAGACGCTTGTTTTCGCGCGTCCTGGCCGCCCAGGTGCGCATCTGACATGGCGGTCCCGAGCTGGGCTTTGCGTCTCTTCGCGCGTCCAGGCTGCGCTGGAGTATGTCCAACACGTGGTCGTCTGGCTCTATGCTTACGTCGGGCCTGTCCCCCTACAGGGGGATTTTCGACGACAAATAACAAGTACCCCAAACATAACCCAAAATGGTCGAAACATATTCGAAAAATAGTCCCCTGACTATTTTTGGACTATTTTTGGAGTATTTTTGGGGTATTTTTGTTTCGTCGAAAATCCTCCCTGTAGGGGGACAGGCCCGACTTAACTCTATGCCTGAGCAAATTGTGAGGGTGTCTCGAGCGAGGGCTGCGGCACCGAGTCGGACCTCGAGCTCGAGCCGGTCGAGCGTCTCGCGCGTTTCGGCTGCAGCTGGCCCGAGCTGTGCGCTCGGACAGCTCGAGCTGGAGATCCAAAGCAGTTCGGTCAGGGCTCCGACGCCACGGACGGCCTGACCCACAGTGCAACAGCGCACGGCGCAGTTCAGCACGGCATGTCCCCTGGCGCATGCCCTGGCACTTTCATTGGCACGTTCCGTGGCGCGTCCCTTGCACGTCGCTGTGCGGCGCGGCGCAGTGAAGACCGGCACAACGCAGCTCTTGACATAATACCATCAGCACTGATCTCTTGAGCATTGCCACTGCCCGTCGCCCAAGTGAGGTGCTTGGAAACGTTCCCATGCCTCGCAGTTCTGAGTCCCTTTCCGGGTTTGTGGGTCGATGATGTCCAAGGCCGGCCTCCTTCAGTGGCGTGGCGACCCCGGGCTGAAGATCAAGGTGGAGGCTGCCACTGCCAAGGCACAGCTCGCCCAGGACACATTCGCCCACGAGAGCCGAGAGTCTTGGGGCAAGTGCTTCCTTCCTTCTCCGCCTCCTCGTCCGCCTCGTCCTCCTCGTCCTCCTCCTCGTCCTCCTCCTCCTCCTCCTCCCTCTCCCTCCTTTTCATCCTCCTCCTCCTCCTCCTCCTCTTCTCCTCCTCCTCCTCACTCTTTCCCTTCTCTTCCACCTCTGCCGTCGCCGAAGGTGCAGGTGCCCAGCTGGGTGCATCGTGCCAGCAAGCTCGGCCGCCTGGAGGCCGCTGCCGCCTCCCGGGGCGCCGTCGCCGCCGCCGCGCCCTCGTGGCCGTGGTCCGCGCTTTTCTCTTCTGGACCAGACGCAGCTTTTCATCGAAACGCGTTCTGAACGTGGCCCTCGAGGGCCTGCGTGGAAGGGCTCGGCGTCCACAAACCCTCGGGGCGGACCTGCGGCTGCCCGCTGGGGGGCAGGAAGGGAGGGTTCCGCGTCAGTGCCAAGTGCCCGCGCGCCCCTGCATTGCGGAGTGGCCTTTGAGCCCCGCCGCGTCAGGATTGCGGGCGCTGGTCACGCGCGCTGAATCATGCGCCGCTAACAGGCGCGCGCCGCGCACTAAGCAGCGCTGAGTCGTGGCTAAGCAGGGGGTCGTTGTCTTACGGAATGGTACCATGAGCTTCCACATAACGTTCTCTGGTTGAAGTCTCTGTTGGGGAGCACCGAGCATACTTAAAACAGGGCTAGGATCGGGATAAATCGCTCCAGAGCGTTCCGGAGCGCTCTCAGAGCGTTCCGGACCGCTCTGGAGCGGCCGCGGCGCCCCATACATCCTCCAAGCCCGCCGATTCTCAGAGATTTCGAGTAATCCCGATCCGATTTTGTCCCGATCTTCGCGTCGTTTTAATATTTCTGGGCCCCAGCAGTGGTGCCGCATCACACATTTTTCTGGCCCGCGCACGTTTTGAGGCGGCGGCTGCCGGGAGGAGGGAGGCAGGGAGAAGCCTGCCCGGGGGGGGGGGGAATGAGAGAACGCGAGGATGGAGGGGGGGAGGGGGCGAGGGTTACTGCGGTGCTACACCTCCACCGCCAGAATATGTCCACATCCACCGCTTCGGAGTCGTGCCCTGGAATCTCGAGGAGCAGTGGATATGGATATCTGCCCGCCCGCGTGAGCGGGCAGATATCCATATCCGCCGCTCCCCGAGTCCTCGCAACACGACCCAGCAGCAGTGGATATGGTCAAATTCTGGCGGCGCATACACCTCCGTGGTCGCCGTCATGTGGGGTCACGCTCCAGGCTTCTCTTCGCTGGGCGCACCTGGGGGCCAGGCAGGCGTCCGCTGCCAGTCCTCTGGGGCCCTGCCGCCCCCCTCCCGTGTGACTCTTGAAACGTGCCCAGCTTGCGGGTCGGAAGGTCTTCGGGTTCGAGGGGGTTCTTCGCCCGCTGGCCGCAGCTCGTGAGCCGGTCGCCAGCCACGCGCAGAGGGGGGTTGGAGGGAGGGGGGAGGGCTTCTTGGAAGCACCCCTGCTTCTCGGAAGGCGCGGGCCTTATCTGTAGATGTAAGGCTGGCGCCTTCGACGAAGCAGCCTCCTTCTAAGAAGCGCTCCCCCCTCCCCTCCAACCCCTTGTGCGCGCCGCCAAGGTCGGCCGCGGAGCGCCCTCTCGAGCTCAGGTCGCGGCCTCGTCGTAGTGTGCGGGGATTGCGCTTCCGTGTCTTACGCGCAGGGCGACGTTTTGCCGACCTTTCAGTTCTGAAGAGCGTGGGAATTGTCTTGCACAGCTGTGTTCCAGAGTTCGGAGCCATGTATTCCCAACCCTCCCTTGGTTGGGTTCTCGTTTTGAATACGGCACCGTGGTCTCCGTCACTCTTCCCCCCCTTCCTCCTTCCTCCCTCCTTTCTGCTCCTCCTCGTTTTCTTCCTCCTCCTCCCTGCCTCGTGACCTCGCCGCCCCCTGGGTGGCTGCGATCTGCGAAAGTGTAGTCATTTCCGTGGGCTTCTGGGAGGGCCAACGGAGTGACGTCATACGCGGATCACCACGAGACCTCGCCGCCCCCTGGGGGGCTGCGATCTGCGAAACTGTCACCACTTTCGTGGGCTTCTGGGAGGGCCAGCGGGGTGACGCCTTACGCGGATCACCACAAGACCTCGCCGCCCCCTGGGGGGCTGCGATCTGCGAAACTGTCACCACTTTCGTGGGCTTCTGGGAGGGCCAGCGGGGTGACGTCATACGCGGATCACCACGAGACCTCGCTGTCCCCTGGGGGGCGGCTGATCTGCGAAGCTGCCTCCACTTTCGTGGGCTTCTGGGAGGGCCAGCGGAGTGACGTCATACGCGGATCACGAGACCTCGCTGCCCCCTGGGTGGCGGCTGATCTGCGAAATTGTCGCCATTTTCGCGCGGTCCTGGGAGGGCCAGCGGGGTGACGCCTTACGCACATCACAACTATAGCTCGCCGTCCCCTGGGGGGCTGTGATCTGCGAAACTGTCGCCACTTTCGTGGGCTTCTGGGAGGGCTAGCGGAGTGACGTCATACGCGGATCACCACGAGACCTCGCCGTCCCCTGGGGTGCTGCGATCTGTGGAACTGTCACCACTTTCGTTGGCTTCTGGGAGGGCCAGCGGGGTGACGTCATACGCGGATCACCACGAGACTTCGCCGTCCCCTGGGGAGCTGCGATCCGCGAAACTGCGCCTATTTTCGTTGGCTTCTTGGAGGGCCAGCGGAGCGACGTCATACGCGGATCACCACGAGGCCTCGCCGCCCCTTGGGGGGCTGCGATCTGCGAAACTGTCACCACTTTCGTGGGCTTCTGGGAGGGCCAGCGGAGTGACGTCTTACGCACATCACAACTATAGGTCGCCGTCCCCTGGGGGGCTGTGATCTGCGAAATTGTCGCCAATTTCGTGGGCTTCTGGGAGGGCCAGCGTAGTGACGTCATACGCGGATCACGAAGAGACCTCGCCGCCCCCTGGGGGGCTGAGATCTGCGAAACTGTCGCCACTTTCGTGGGCTTCTGGGAGGGCCAGCGGAGTGACGTCTTACGCGGATCACCACGAGACCTCGCCGCCCCCTGGGTGGCGGCTGATCTGCGAAGCTGTCGCCACTTTCCTGGGCTTCTGGGAAGGCCAGCGGAGTGACGTTGTACGCGGATCATCGCGAGACCTCGCTGGCCCCTGGGTGACTGCGATCTGCGAAGCTGTCGCCACTGTCGCGGGGTTCTGGGAGGGCCAGCGGAGTGACGTCTTACGCGGATCCCACGAGACTTCGCCGTCCCCTGGGGGGCTGCGATCCGGAAACTGTCGCCACTTTCGTGGGCTTCTGGGAGGGCCAGCAGAGTGATGTCTTACGCAGATCACCACGAGACCTCGCCGTCCCCCTGGGGGAGGGGTGCTGCGATCTGCGAAACTGTCGCCACTTACGTGGGCTTCTGTCAAGGGAGGAAAAACCACCCCGACCAGACAATTTGCGTTGACTAAACGGCCATCGCCGTTTACTAAACAGACCTGCCCTGTTTGATTCCTTCATTGGGTGCGTTTACTAAACGGCTTCGCGTGTCGGGGTGGTTATTATCGGGGTGGATTTTCTGCCCTCTATTCTGGGAGGGCCAGCGGAGCGACGTCTTACGCGGATCACCACGAGACCTCGCTGTCCCCCAGGGCGGGGCTGCGATCTGCGAAATTGTCGCCACTTATGTGGGCTTCTGGGAGGGCCAGCGGGGTGACGTCGTACGCGGATCACCACGAGACCTCGCCGCCCCCTGGGGGGTTGCGATGGGCTTCTGGGAGGGCCAGCGGAGTGACGTCTTACGCACATCACACCTATAGCTCGCCGTCCCCTGTGGGGCTGTGATCTGCGAACATGTCGCCACTTTCGTAGGCTCCTCGGAGGGCCATCGGAGTGACGTCTTACGCATCTCACATCTATAGCTCGCCGTCCCCAGGGGGCTGCGATCCGTGAAACTGTCGCCACCAGTCCCATGAGGCATGGGCGGCCGGTTATATATACCAGGTGGCAGTCAGGCACAGGGCTGAATACATGAGGCACAGGCAGGTGTGATCCTAGTCCTCCTTGTAGTCGCCACGTGGACGGATAAGGACGGATAACCTTTCCGAGGACACCCTTGCGTCCTTAGATTGTTCGGCACCTTTGCAGAGCGCTGTCCTGCAATGCGAGCACAGTGCAAGTCGTCCCTCCTCTACATGTTTCCACGCCCCCTCGTGGTCGCCCTTCTGCCAACGACCTGACTCTCAAGAGTGACGCCGCATATGGGAAACATCTGACTCTGGTCCGACGTTCTTGGGCGAAGCGTTCAAGGGCATTGCGGATCATTCAATGCTTGTTTTTGTATTGAGCGATCCGATGAAGGGTTGGGTACGTCCCCGGGTTATTTCATCGCTTCGCTTATTCCGCTGGCCCATTTTGCATCACGGTGGCTGCATGGTGGTGTGCTCGTACAAATGGGCAGGCAGCTCTGTCCTCGAGGAGATCTTTGGATATGTGGCTTGTCGACGAGAGCCGATTGACTGCCACAGACGGCGACAAGATGGCTCAAGAGAGCTCCAGCAGAGTTTCGAGACGCACCTGGGTTGTGGGTCAGAGTCCTCATGGATGCTTCTTGGGGTCTCTTCGGGGGCCTCTGGGGAGCCTCTGGGGAGCAGTTCTGAGGCCTCTGGGTAGCCTCTCGGGGGCTTCTTGGGGGCTTTTTGGGGCTTCCTGGGTGCCTTGTGGGGCTGAGAGCTCAGAATGTCTGTTCGGGTTACCCCTCTGGGCCCCCTTTTGGGGCCATCCCGGGGCCGTCTTGGAGGCCTCTTGGGCTGTCTTAGGGCCATTCGGGGGCCCTCTTGGGGGCTTTTTGTATCGTTTTGGAGCGATCATGTCTCTTGGGCCGTCCAGGGCGGTCGGCAGTTCGAAAAGGCGGTACCACCAAAATCGCCCGAAGCCGCAAAATCGATGATTTTTGCGCCTTCGGGGCCTCTCGACGTCCTCGTGGAACCCTCCTGGAGCATTTTGTGCACTTTTTGGGCCGTCTCGGGGTCAACGTGGGCCATCTTGGAACGCTTTGGCCTGAGGCCGTGGGGTGTGCCACCCTTTTGGCGCCTCATTGGCCCGCTCGGAGGGGCCCAGAGGCCGCGCCCAGGAGTTCCGGCATCTCTGATCCGGACCTTGCCCGGACCTTGCCCGGACCAATGCCCAGACCTTGCCGGGACCTTGCCGGGACCTTGCCCGGAATTTTCTGGGACCTTGCCGTGACCTTGCCGTCACCTTGCCAGGAGTTTGCCGGGACCTTGCCGGGGATTTTTTTGTCTGCGGACCTCCAGGGGCCGCCACGCGCGCGCGAACAACAAATATTATTGAATTCTTACCGGAGATTTGGCTTACGCCTCATCCGCCGATCCCTTATTTTACTTCTTGGGAGTTGCGGGGGTTTTGGTTCGGGTTCCAGCGTTCCTGTTTGAGCGTTGGGAACGATTACCGCTCTGGTCATCAATATCCATATCAAGACAATCCCAAGGATCAAAAGTGTGGAAGGATACTGATTACAAACGGTGGAGCAGTTATGTGGGGATCTATCTCATCTGATCAAATCGTGCATTTCCCCTCAAAGTGTTGTTGCTTGACCGTTTGGTCGTTCGGCCTGGCTGAGTAGTGCAGCGTGGTCAAAGGAGCTACTGTGACATTGGGATCACAGTCTCTTGTGGAGGATTTCAATGTTGAGTGTAGTATCGCATTGCGCAGTGATGCCAGCGCTGCAATCGCCATTGCGTGTAGGCGTGGATTTGGGCAGTTCGGCAGATAGAGGTTCGTCAGTTGTGGCGTAAGACAAAGTACGGAGAGGATACATTATAGTTGTGCAAGAAATGTACACATGAGAACGTAGAAAATGCATTAACAAAGTATGTGAGTATGAATGGGACGTCTATGCACGTGAGGAGTACAAACCAACACAGTACCGAAAGAAGGCATGACTTAGCACCTGCTATGGAAAACAAGTGGATTGGTAAACGCGGTTGACAAGCCAGACTTTGTGTCGAGCTCGAGGCCACCTCATGCCACGGTGCTCGCCTCAACCCCTATTCCAGAATATGTGAAAGTTCACATCGTGTACATCTTCGGCCGCGGTGAGATTGCCAGATTGTGGCGGGGCCTGTATTACCAAGCTCTGGGCAATTATCTGGATCTCTTTTGGAATATGTCGCAATTGAAGAGATCTTGATTACAGTGTCCACCCAAATCGACGTTGCCTTATCATCAGGCTTCTCTGGTGCGATTTCAGTGGCCTCGTGGCATCTGGGGATCTGCAGTGACTGTGTTTATCACCAGATGCTGCCAACCACGCTTAGCTTTGTGACTCTAAATAGGCTTAAACAACATCCGCCGACCCCTTAACTGAGTTCACGGTTTGATGGTGCTTTTCGGTGTTGGGAGGCTTCGTGGGGCGGAAGGCTCGAATTTTCGGTTCGGGGTTCCCCTCTTGGGTCCGTGTTGGGGCCGGCTTGGAGGTTATGGCCGATGAGTCGAGCCGGTTGAAGCGATTGCTGATGTGCGCAGCGTGCAAGAAACAGTTCGCACCACAGGAACACTTACGCGCCAGACAGGAGAGCGAGCATTTCACGAGAAAGAGTAAAGTTGTATGCGCAGATTGCATTGCCGACGGGTTCGCGTCGCGCAGTTGGTCGGCCTTTCAGTGCAGTGGCAAGTGCCAGAGGAATTTGCTGAAATCGGTTTTCTCCGTGGACGCGAGCAATGTCGCGCGTGACGAGAAGAAGCGCACCTTGAAATGCAAGGCCTGCGAACGATACGAGTAGGGCGCCCGTGCCATGGCCCGTAGAAGTAGGAACAGCGGGGGTGCGAGCGATGGGAGGACGAAGCCGATGAAAAGATGAACACAAAGAAGGTGACAGCGGAGGAGGAGGAGGAGGTGGAGGAGGAGGAGGAGGATGAGGAGGAGGAGCAGGGGGAAAATGGGGGAGAGGCGGAAAGGGGAGCCAAAGAAGAGGAGGAGGAGGAGGAGGAGGAGGAGGAGGAGGAGGAGGCGGAGGAGGAGGAGGAGGAGGAGTCAGGATTTGGTCTTGAGGCGTCACGGGGGCATTTGGGAGATACTGTGTGGGCCTCTTGGGAGATGTCTGGGAGCCTGTTGGGAGCCTTGTGGGCCTCGCTTGGCGCTCCCTGGGGCCCCCTTGAGAGGCTCGTGCAGCAGGCTGGGGGTCCCTCTTGGAGCCGTCTGGAGGCCCTCTTGGGCCGTTTTGGGCGCTTCTTGGGCCGTTTTTGGGCCTTCTGAAACGTTTCTCGACAGTTGCCGAGGCCGTCCTGGTTGGATGTGGACGGTGTCGGGGCCCGTGGCGGACGCTGCGAAACCGCAAGAAGCGTATATGGTAAAATTGAACTTGGGGCTGGCGTGGGACGCCTCTTGGGAGCATCCTGGGTCGTCTTGGGGGCTTCGGAGGCTGTTTGGAAGCCATCGTGGGCGTCTTGGAATGATATTTCGGCGAGTCGTCGCCGTCTTGTGCGGTCAGGGAGGCGTATTGGTGCCCTCTTGGCTCGTTTTGGGGCCTTCCGTTCCCCTATGACGCCTTCGGCGGTGGGTTGTGCCGGGCGAGGGGGGGGGTCGAATTGCCGGTTTGGGGTCCCAAGGGGGTTCTTATGGGGGGATAATTTCACACGCTTACAGACCCACAAGGGGTAGGCGGATTTTGCGCCGTGGTATGTATCCTGCATCGAATTATACACTCTAGATTCGTAGGCGCCTATCCACCGGCGTCTCATTATATAGAATCATTTGATCCGCACGGGGTGCCATTTTTTCACGGAGTCGCCGGACGAGAAGCACAATCTGGCAATGGCGCTGTTGTCGCGATCGCGATGAGAGGACCTCGTGTCGTGAGTCGTGGAATGCGACGATTTTTGTTTCTTGGGGCCCTGGGGGGGGCCTGTTGGAGGCATCGTGGGGCGTGTTGGAAGCATCTTGGGCTGTCTGGAGGCCCTCATGGGCGTCTTGGAACGATCTTTCGGCGAGTTGGGGCCATGTTGGACCGTCTTGGGGGTTTCTTGGGAGGCTTCATAGGCTGTTTTGGAGCTCCAAAGGGGGCCCATGGAGGGCCGGACCCCCCCTGGTAAGATAGGCCGGGGGTCCCGCCGGGCTTGGGGGGGTCGAATTGCAGGTTTGGGGTCCTGGGGGTGCGTATGGGGGGGATGATTTCACACGCCTAGAGACTGCAAAGGGTCGGCGGATTTTAGCACGCCTCTGGTCCGTCTGGCTGGCGAATTTGCGCCGTCGGTCGCTCGCTCCGCCGTCGCCTTCTCATGATGGTCATAGTGGGTCCACAAGAACACCAGGATAACCCCAAGAACACCCCCCTCCTCACCCCGTTTCTCCTGACCTTCGCCTTCTCTCGTGCAAGAGCCAGGGCATCCGTGCCACTTGTCGTTGATCCCCCACCGGTGCCCACTTTGTGTGTTTTCGCATCCTCCGCCGCCTCTGCTCCCGCCCTCGCTCCGCGCGGCGCCCGCCAGGAGGTCGTCCGCCAGCCCCGCGTGATCGGCACGCCAGAGGTCGGCCCCGCGCGGCGCGCCTGGGCGCTCGCGCGTGTGCGCGTGCTTGCAAGTAGTCATTGCGTTGCTCGACCGGTGTGTCTTGGCTGCCGCTCAGCAGGTGTCCGCACATCACGGTCGACCCGCGAGGGGCCTCGTGCCCCCCAGATGCCCCTCAACGGGACGCCGACAACTGTTGTTTTCGTTTTGCATTCTTGTTTTGAGACCGTGTGTGCGTATTTGTGTGTGCATGTGTGCATGTGTGTGTGTGTGTGTGTTTGTGTGTGTGTGTGTGTGTGTGTGCGTGCGCGCGCGTGCGTGCGTGCGTGCGTGCGTGCGTGCGTGCGTGCGTGCGTGCGTGCGTGCGTGCGTGTGTGTGTGTGTGTGTTTGTGTGTGTGTGTGTGTGTGTGTGTGTGTGCGGACACCGTTGCCGCAGCGCGACGTCCTCCATGCCCCTCCCCATGCCTCTTTCCTCCTTCTGCCCCCCCTCCCTCATCCACATGCTGCTCGTCGTCGTCGTCGTCGTCGTCGTCCTCCTCCTCCTCCTCCTCCTCCTCCTCCTCCTCCGGGGCCGACGGGCCGACGGCTCCAGGGCTCACGCTGGGGGACACGTGGTGACGCCGGAGGTCTCGGTTGGGCCGCTCTGCTGCGCTTGTGCCTCTCGGCTGCCGGCCCCCGCCCCTCCCCCCACGACCGCGCGGCCGCTCGGCTTCGGAGAGCTTCGGCTCGGCTCGGCTCTGCCCGGGCCCCGACCTTGCCAGCCTCGCGCGCGAGGGCGCGCTCGTCGCACCCTCGCGCTGCATCGCCCCTCCTCCCGCTGCTTTTCTCCGGCGCCCCTCTCCTCTTCCTCTCCTCACGTCTCTTCCCCTTCTCCCGGTCTTCCCCTCCCCCTCCCCCCCGCCCCCTCTCGCTGCCGCCGCAGTGGCTGCACATGGCAGCCGGAGGCTCTCCTCTCCCCCCCCGGTGTGCGCGGAGCGGGGCGCGGCCTGTCCCGCAGGCGGGTTCTCTTACGCACAGGATGCTCCAAGCGCCGAGCTCTGTGCTTTTGCGTTGCTCACTTCGGAGCGTGTTTGGCTTCTTCGCTTCAGCGTTGGCCCCATCTCAGGGTCTTCGCCCTGCTCCCGTTGTGCCTAGTGGCGCTCTCGCCCGCAGCGCGGGCCACGTTGCTGGATCTGATTCTTCGTCGTCGTCGCCCCCTTCTTCCCCCCCCCCCTCCGCCTTCCCGGGGTCATCCTGCTCTTCCCGCTCCTCCTCCTGCTTCGCCTGCTCCTCCTTTCCCTCCCACATCCTCCTCTTCCTCCTGCTAGTCCTCCTGCTTGCTCATCCCTCACCTCCTCCTACTCCTCTTCGCAGCTTCCCTTTCTGACTGCGCATCGCGCGGTGGAACCATTCTTGGGATCCAGTTCTGCTAGGACGCCCGTCGGCGACTGAGAAATAATCAGCGCAATGTGAAGTGATGGGCTGGAGGGACATCAGGTATGGCGCGCGCGCGCCTAGCTTGTCCTCCGCCCTCCCCCATCTTCTCCTCTCCCTCCTCCCCCTCCCCCCCCCTCCCTCCCTCCCTCCCTCCCTCTCCCCTCCCTCCTCCTCCTCCTCCTCCTCCTCCTCCTCCTCCTCCTCCTCCTCCTCCTCCGCCTCATCCCTCATCCCTCCTTCTGATCATGCCTCCTGCCTCATTTCCCCTCCTCTCCCCTCCCTCTCCCCCTTTTCCTCCTCATCCCTTTTCCTCATCCCTCCCCTCCCCTCCCCTCCCCTCCCCTCTCCTCCCCTCCTGATCATCCCTCCCTTTCCTCCCTTCCCCTCCCCTCCCTTTCCGTAGCCATTTTGGCTCAAGCCTGTTTGGTTCGAGCGCGCTCGGTCCTTGCAATGGGGCGGCCCGAAAGCGTGGCGGCCTTCGGTTCAGCGTCAAGCGGACATCGATTCCATCGGCCCAGCAGCGGCGCGCCGAGCTGCGAGGCGGCGGCGGCAGGCGGCGGCGGGGCTGTTGTGCGCGCTGCCGACGCGGGCGGCTCTCCTGGATCGTGGCAGGATCGCGAGCTCGCTTCTCGGCCTGCGCTGCGGCGGCTGGCCAGCGGGCTCCGCATGCCCGGGTCCACGAGGCGGCGCTGCAACACCGCCTGGCACTCCGAGGCGGTGCCGCTCGGGGGTTCGCTTCGACTTCTGCCAGCGGCATCGCCTGGGCTGCTGCCGGTCCCAGGCTGGGCTGGCGGTCGACGGCCGAGCAGCCGGGCAGCAGCGCTTCGGTGTATCCATCTTCTGGGATGCGATGCACGTGCGGCAGCTTCGTCTTCAGCTCTGCGGGGCTCGTGGGCGACGGCTTCTCGTACGCGGTGCAGGGCGGCTTCAGCAGCGTTTTTCACAACGCATCTCGGGGAGAGTACCGTGCTGTTCATGGAGATCCTCCTGCTGGGGTTGGCGGAGTTCGCATTGCTGGTGACGTTCCTGAGGCGGCTCCACCTTGCCCTCTGGTCGAGCATCGTGCGCGTGATGTGGTACTGCCCGGGTCTCAGCCTCTGGTTGTGGAGTTCGGGGTTTACGAGGCGTCGGACGCGCAGCTGGTCGCGGAGGACCCCGTCATTGCGGAGTTTGTTCCTGGAGGTCGGGAGGAAGGTGCGCTGGAGACGCCCAACATCGATTTCGAGTGTGGTTTCGGCGTCGACTCCTACGCCCGCTGGGTCAACATCCCCTGTATCTTCGGTGGGCCTGGAGGGGCGGCCAGGAGGAGGCCTTTCGTCAAGCGGCAGGCGCAGTTTGGCGGCGAGGCAACTGCGCGGCTTTCTCCATCCTCGGCTTTCGGCGGCGGCGGCGCTGCGTTCGAGGCGGCGGGCGGCTCCTTCCAGCCCGTGAGCCCTGAGTGCTTGGGCGGTTCGCGCGGCGCCTCCGGCACTTCCGCATCGTCGGCACGTGCCTCAAGGGCATCGGGGAGCACGGGGGGACCTTCATCGGGGCGCGGTCGTGCTCGCTCTTCTGCGGCTGCCAGCTGGTGGAGGCCATCTGAGCTTTTCACCTCGGCCATGTGCGCTTGCGGCGTGAGTCTTGTCAGGACAAAACCCTCCCCTCCCCTCCCCTCCCCTCCCCTCCCCTCCCCTCCCCTCCCCTCCCTCCCCTCCCTCCCCTCCCCTCCAGCCCCGCCTCGCGTGGGCGCCGGCGCTCCCAGGAGGTGGGCCAGGCGTGGCACCACCACAGGGAGGACATGGCGACCTGAGCGGGGCGAGGCGCCCCTGACGGCCCGTCGTGCGCCGCACGCCCGCGCGCTGCGGGCTGCGAGCTGCACTGGCACCGGGGGAGGCTGGGGAGCGCGGCGGGCAGACGCAGGGGTGGGCAGACGAAGGGAGGAGGAGGAGGAGGAGGAGGCGGAGGAGAGGAGGAGGAGGAGGAGGAGGAGGAGGAGGAGGAGGAGGAGGAGGAGGAGAGGAGGAGGAGGAGGAGGAGGAGGAGGAGGAGGAGGAGGAGGAGGAGGAGGAGGAGGAGGGAGGAGGAGGGAGGAGGAGGAGGAGGAGGAGGAGGAGGAGGAGGAGAGGAGGAGGAGGAGGAGGAGGAGGAGGAGGAGGAGGAGGAGGAGGAGGAGGAGAGGGAGGAGGAGGAGGGCGGGGGGGGGGGAGGGGGAGGGAGGAGGAGGAGGAGGAGGAGGAGAGGAGTGAGGAGGAGGAGGAGGAGGAGGAGGAGGAGGAGGAGGAGGAGAGGAGGAGGAGAGGAGGAGGAGGAGGAGGAGGAGGAGGAGGAGGAGGAGGAGGAGGAGGAGGAGGGGAGGGAGGGGGGGGAGGGGAGGAGGGAGAGGGAGGAGGAGGAGGAGGAGAAGGGAGGAGGGGAGGGGAGGAGGGGGGGGAGGAGGAGGGAGGGAAGGAGGAGGAGGGAGGAGGGAGGAGGAGGAGGAGGGAGGAGGGAGGAGGAGCAGGAGGAGGAGGAAAAGGAGGATAATCATCTGCATGAGCCCCCGTGCGCGGTGGCCCTCCCGGAGCACGTCGGCGAGGGGCGCTGGCGCGGGGCTGCGGCGCGCAGCGGCCGCGCGTTGCGCCAGGGGAGGGTCGCCATGGGGAAGCGGGTCCCGAAGGAGAGGTGCCCTGAGGTTTGCCGCCCGTGTCGGGCTCTCGGGGCCCTCCCCGGGCCCCGGGACCCGTCAGGAACTGGCTCAGGATGAGTCCGTCCGGGGGGAGGTCTCGGTGTCCAGGGCCCGTTTCCCTCGGGACCCGTGTCCCCATGCGCCAGGGGGAGCCCGGCAACGACTGGGTGTCGTCATCACCTTCGCATGCATCGAGTAGGCGGCTTGTCGGCCTCACAAGAGGTCACCGCCAGAGGCCAGTGCGAGACAGGACGGGGACAATAACTCAAGCGAACTGCATGTCGGGTTCGGCTCGGGCCGCTAGGTTCCTGCGCTTCACAGTGCAGGTCCCGAGGGCCTCGGCAGTGGCCTGATCAGGGAAGCCGAATACGCCCAACCCCTGATCCCAAGGGGAGAAGGGGGAGGGGGAGAAGGAGGAGGAAGAACATAACAATTCTCGCATGATGCTTTTTACTGATTTCGGCCTCGGGGGCCGTTTCGGGCCACAAGCCCGTCACAGAATGGACCCCCAGGATGAACCCGGGGAGTGGTCAGGGGATCGATTGCAAGTGGCTTTCGGGGTGTGTGGAGGAGGGGCAGATCTCCAAGGTCGTGTTTTTTTCTGCTGTTTCCAGTGCCTGGCCCCCAGACCTCTCGAGCCCTTCTTCCTGGGGGCTGCTTTATCCATCCCGGATCGATTGGCTGATGGCCCCAGGGCTCAGAGTCTGGCTCCCCGTGGACGCCGACCTCGTGGGAAGGCCTGCCGCCAAGTCCTCTCTTTCGCATAGGGGGCTCCTCGTTTCAGGCGTGCAGGGCGTCGGGGTAAGTCGCTCTCCTGGGCTTCCCAGATGGGGTCCGAGCAGATGGGGCCGGAGGATCGCGCCGCATCGCCGATACGTCGACGGTGCGGCTCGATGTGGAGACCGTGTTCCCCCACGCCGGCGTCGCCGATACATCGCCGATGCATCGGCGATGCGCTGGCGATGCGGCGGGATCCTTCGACTCCATCTGCTCGGACCCCATCTAGGAGGCCTCTCGGAGCGGCCGCGATGCCCGACACATTCCACCAAACTGGGCGATCTCAGAGGTCCCCGCTGTGCCACTGCCCCATTTTGTCCCTGTCCTGGCTTCGTCCTATCGTTCCTCGGGGCTTCGCGGGAGCGGCGTAAGCACAGCGGGGTCGTCGGCGCGGACGCCCGCGTCAGGTCGCGCGTGCGCGTCCGCCTTCCTCTGCGCGGTTCGCCGCAGTGGGCAGCGCGCGAGAGGCACCGCGTGAGCTCGCCGTGCTCCCTCACGTGAGCGGAGCGGAAGGCGAACTCTGGTCGACGGCGTTCTCCTGGCCCCTCTCCCGGGGTCCAGAGCGATGTCTGCCTCGGATTGCTGCTCGCGCAGAGGCTGGGAGGGCGTGCGAGGCCCGAGAGGAAGTCTGGACTTCATGCAGCTCGGGACTCGCTTGCGCGCCTTTTCGGCTTTTCGCGCTGCTTGAGAAGACGGCGGAGGTGGTGGGGAATGTCATGTAAGGAAGCTTGCCAGAACCAGAAGGAATGTAAAGACAAAGGCTCCCGTCTGTTCTTCGCCCCGGGCCCATTTTGAAGGTCCCGGGGCACTGGGCAGCCCCGCCATAGAGGCCGAGCTCGAGGGCATTCCGCGTGCCGTCGCCCCCCACGCTGCGGCCAAGCTCCAGACGAATTATCCTGTCATGAGCGCAAGTCCGCGGAGGACCAGTGTGACCACCGTGCTCCAGTCCAGCCTGGCAGAATCTACTTCCTCGCCCTCATCTCTCCTTTGGAGGTCCCATGTCTTATCTCTTGTTGGCCAGGATTGAGGAGGAGAAGAAGGAGGAGAAGGAGAAGGAGGAGAAGTAGGAGGTGTCCAAGTAATATCAAGAACCCATCTTAGGATATGGGGGATAACAATAACCCCTTTTTAGGATATGGGGAATAATACCAATGACACGAAGACGAATCTGACTAATAACGACACGGGCAGTTTTTTTAATCAAAAGAGTCGTATGATTAATCGTATCAAGAGTATTTCCAATCCCACTCGCACGAATCATAAGAAAACGAGGCCATTACTAATACATTCATTAGTATCAAGAATTGCAGGTCAATTGTAACAATTATGTTCATATTATCAATACACTTGTAGTGCTAGTATGAAGTATACGATTAATCAATCAATTTGATAAGAATATTCATCATCAGAAAAATACTCGTAACAATACGATGGCACATTTAAGACGGAAAACCATTCAACTAATATTAGTATTAGTAACACAAACACATGTAATGACGGCAATCGTAGTACGAATACTAATAAGAAGGATAAGACGAATGATTAGCAGACTAAGAACAATCCGCGTACTATTAAGTGCATGGCTAGTACTGATTATTACAGTATTACATACACTCTGACGAATATAAATGAGAGGCATACTCAGCATACCAATGGCAATACTAGTTTTTCTTTTGTGTGTTAGAACCAAACTTGTCTGACTTTTATTTCATCCTTTAAATAACATGTTGAATGCTAGTAATAATGATAGTACAGAAGAAGAGTTAATACTAGTGACAACACTAAGACAGATAATGACGATCAAGAGTAATACTACTAGTGATAAATAATATGATTAATAATAAGAGTAATAATCTATGAACATGAAGAAGAAAGGAGGAGGAGTGGGCTGCGGAGGAGGAGAAGGAGGAGGTGGAGGGGAACGGGGGACGAGGGGCAGGAGGAAGGGGAGGGGGAACATGAGATCGCCCGAGGCCCCTCGCCGGATCGCCAGTCCACGCGCGCCTTCCGGCGCGCGGCGCCGCGCTGAGCCCCAAGTGGCCGCGCGCGCGCGCGGCCCGCGCCGCGCCGCGCCGCGGGCCGTGCGAGCACCTGGGCCCGCCCGCGGACGTTGGCGGCCGAGCGCCTGGGGCCGCGGACAGAGCGCGCGTCCGCGGCGGGCTCGTCGGGGAGGGAGAGGCCTGGCGCGCCGGTGGCGCGCCGTCGCGGTTGCCTGGCAGAGGAGGGTGAGGGGGGGAGGGAAGGAGGGAAGGAGGGGGGGAGAGGGGTATGATGAGGGTGAGGAGGGGGAGAAGCGAGGGAAGGAGGGAGGAGGCTGGCCTGAGCCACAAGTTCCCCCTCTATCTACCCCTTTTCCCCCTTCGAGTGAAGCTTCCTCCAGGTGATCGAGGCGCCTCCAGAGGAGTGACGCCTGCATTCGTGGACTGTCCCACACCTTTCCTATCACCTGTGCATGTTATCCTCCACGGACGGGCACGTTCCAAACCGCTACGGCACGGGACAGGAGGGAGTATAGGGATGAGAGGAGGAGAATCATGTTTTTTCCCCCCCCCCCCCGGTGACCTCCGCTTTAGTTTCTGCCTGGAATGGGGGGCCCTCAGCATTTGTATGAATTTTGCGGCGTGGGTTGTTTTCGCTGCGTCCTGAGGGTCTTGGGGCTTGGAATGGGTTTGCGGAGGCCTGGGTTTGGAGCACACAGACCGCTTTGATTTTCCAGGACGCTGGAGAACTGAGAGGACACCGTTCCTCCTCCTTCTCCTCCTCTTCCTCCTCCTCCTCCTCTTTTAGCTTTTCCTCATCGTCGTCATGGTCCGCCTCCCCTCGTCTCCTCCGCCTTGCGTGTGTTCGGATAACATGAGGGTTCGGATGAGAGGAGGAGGAGGAGGAGGAGGAGGAGGAGGAGGAGGAGGAGGAGGAGGAGGAGGAGGAGAAGGAGGAGCAGGAGGCGATGGAAGCGGAGGAGGAGGAGGAGGAAGAGGTGAACCAGGCGGAGGAGGAGGAGAAGAAGGCTGATGAGGAGGACCAGTGCAAACCGAGGACTCATCAGCGATGTTGGAATGAATCTTCCCTCCCAAATCCCTCTTCATAGGCCCCTTTTAGGGTTCATGTCCGCTGAGGGAATTGCCCCCTTGGTGGAAAACATGTGAAAATCCTGAAGCGTGCCAAGCACCACTCTCAGGACTTCAACGCCACGAGTCAACCTGATTGTTGCGTCTTGACGATCCTGAGTCGAGCCAGAATACAATCCCCGCGAATCAGCGTAACTGTTGCGCCCTGACAATCCTGAATCGCTTAAAAACAGAATTTCTGGTACGTTTGCCATGCTAATCAGTGAAGCTCATGTAACTTTTTACGAGTGCGCGCGGCGCTCAGGCGAGAACGACATTTTGAAATGGAACCCCCATACACCCGTTTTTTTTTGCATTTTTTCCCAACCATCCTGTGGTGTTGGGTCTTCGCTCTGAAGAGACGGTTC